GGCTACGCCCTCATATTACTCACAAATTATAACCCCGATCCCGTCCTTGTATTTTTTTGGGCTATCATCCTACCTCCAAGGGTTATCGCTGTCTTGACCCATAAACTCATAAAGTCTACATATCTCGTCATGTCAAATTTGTCGAAAATTAGTTTCCCTACGAGTCTATTTCCTCCTCCACAAATACATCATTCATTGGCGTTCTTCCCCTTTTTCCAACATACTCACAGGGTCCCTCACCACCTTCCCCCACACCTCCACCCACTACCCAACCACCCCTTATCACCCCTTTGACCGTCACCCACAATACACCCGCAACCACCACCCACACTCACAACCAACCCGAACCAACCCCATACCCACAACATCTCCAGCCCAATCCGTTTTGGGTCCTTCCCGGCCAACCCCGAATCACCACCGCCCGTGCCACCCCCCAATACTCATCCCATGTTAACCCGTGGCAAAGCCGGTATCTTTAAACTCAAAACCTTTCAGGCGAAGAGAATAAGTTTGAAAAGATTTATTTATGCTAGTAACACAGAATTAAATTGTGTCACGTGACATTATTTATTTCAATTATTCGTTATACATACAAGGTTGAAACAAGATGACACAAATATCATGAATTACATAAAACACCCCGGCTCCTATAGTAAATATCATTCATGAGAAGGATATTAAGGAGGGCAATCAAGTAAAGCTCGCTTTTTCTTGCTGCAGCTATTCCAGAAAACTCATTCATGTCCACATCTTCAAGCTTCACACCATGCGGTAATTTCCAATCAAAATGATACAACAAATTAGCTAGTGGAAGATAAACATTGATCAAACCAAATGACATTGCAGGACACATTCTCCTTCCGGCACCAAAAGGAAGATACTCAAAGTTATTCCCCATAAAATCCACAGAGTTATGCTCGAATCTCTCAGGGATAAAGCTTCCTGCATCTTCCTAATACTTTGGGTCTCTCCCCAACGAATAAACGTTAACAATGACTCTTGTTTTTAAAGGGATAGTGTAACCATTGATGTTTGTGTCTTCTCTACATTCTCTAGGGATTAAGAGAGGGAGCGGAGGATGAAGTCTCAAGGTTTCTTTAATAACTTGTTTTAGGTATTTCAACTCCTCAATAACATCTTCATTGAAAGTTTCTTTCCCTTTGAATGCTTCTCTTACCTCAGTTTGTGCTTTTGCTAATACACTTGGGTTTCTTATCATTTCTGTCATCGCCCATATTATTGTTGTTGTTGAAGTTTCTGTTCCAGCTATAAACAAGTCCTACATTCATTATTAATCAAAGAAGAATTGTCATATCATGTATTATTAAAAGTGGAAAGCTCTAATTATTCAAAGTTGGATTATCGTTTTGCTTATCTACTAAATTTAAATAAAATTTATTTAATCTTGGACTATGAAGT